CTTTTTAATTAACTTGTAAATAATTGGAAGATGAGTTATTGAAATTTATTAGCTTTTTAAGATTTATTAACTTTAAAAATTATTAAAAGTTTGTAAACAATTCGGAGATTGAAGTTATTGAAATTATTATTATTTATTTCTTTACAACAATCGTTATAATATATTTCACAAACAAGTAATATTTATATGTCTCCAGTTAATATAAATGTCCACCACACATATTTAAAATATCTAAAGAGCCTTAAGAATGCTCTTTTACGCCTTTGATATTTAGTTAAAATTCATACGCAATAGTAATCGAAGCGAACAGACGTGTTTTTTTCTACAGCGTGTTTAAACTGTTATATAAGTATTGAAATTTCAATTAAAAACATAGAAAAAATAATTACCAACAAATTACAAGAACAGAAAAAATCTATTCTCAAAGAAAACGAGAAGTTGTAAACAGAACAAGAAAAAAGTTTTGCATCAATTATGAGTGCAAACTTAAAAATATTAACGGACAGAATTGAAAAGCTAGAATTTTATGCAAACAATAACTTCAAAAAGATATAAGTGATCTTAAAACAACTCTAAACTTTCAAGAAACAAACTTAATGGAAAAAGTTGTACAAGTTAAAAGCGTTATGATAAGGATTTAAATATTTTACACAAAAAAAGAGCAACTGGCAACTTCACACTGCTTAAAAGAACAACAAAGTTCTCACGGTTTTCTATTTCCTACAGGGGTCCGTACCTATATAACAAAATCATATCCAAAAATATAGAACTTAAAGTATTAAATAATGCTGCCAACTTGAAAAATAAATTAAAACACCTCATACTTAATACCAACAATTATATCGACATGTATTAAACTTAACATTAAAATTTATATTAAAATATTTATGTGTATCACGGATTGTATATTGTTTAACCACTTTTGACTATATATAAAAATAAAATAGACTTTATTTAACTTTTTAAAGAGGTACTCGATGATAAGTCTTCATAGACTTCTACGAGTTTTCCTTTACAACAACATGTATATATCTGAAGTACCAAAAAATTTCTTGTCTTTTTTTTTTTCTTTTCTTATTTTTATTCTTTTATTTTTTAAAAATGCTGGTAACTTTTATGATAAGAAACACTATTAATTTACGCTATACTTAGATGTACTTGTTAAACCAATTTTTATTATGCTATGTTATACGTGGTATTATTATCTTATATTTTTACGTGAGATTATATTATGTCATGTAGTTATAACGTAACGATGTGTAAATTTATTAAAGTTAAAAATAATAATAATAATAATAATAATAATAATCGATTTAAAAAACAGATCACGTCGAAATAATCTACGAATAGATGGAGTTGAAGAAAAACCTAACGAAACACGGAATGACTAAAATTACAGTAAAAATTATTTTCAAATAATTTTTACTGTAATTTTAGTCATTTCGTGTTTCGTTAGGTTCAAACGTGACTCTTAAATGACAAGCCCCAGCTTGGGCTTGTCATTTAAGAGTCACGTGATCTTCGCGAACCGTAAAAAGTTACGAGAGGAAGTAAAAAGACTACGCAGTGAACGCAAGTATGTTGTTATAAAATATGATTTTAAAATTTCATTCCAAAACATCAAGTTTTAAAATGAAATTTTTCTAAAAATATTTGCCCCTAAAAAAAAAAAAAAAAAAAGAAGCATGGCTAAGACTAGTGATTTTGAATCCATAAGTTTCAACTTTTCTGATATAAATAATAATGAAAATACAAAACCCGATATAAATATTTTCCATGACACGCTTATGGATTGTTTATATCGCTATTCAAGCGAATTAGAAGGATTTCTTTTTTAAAATGTTTGCGACAAAAATTTAAATAAAATTAGACTTCTCCACGTAAACATTCGAAGCCTTAATAATAATTTTGAAAAACTTCTCAATTTGTTAGAGGAAAAAAAAAATTGTTTTAATATAGTTTATTTGACTGAAACGTGGATTTCGAATAATAATATTCGGCATCTTTAAAAATATTTTCAATAGACATAAACTTTAAGTGCTGTAACTAATAAATAATAAGAAAAATAAAACAAATTTTGTTTTAGTGTTACTTTAAATTGTGTTGAAATATCATTAACCAGATAAAAAATAGTGCTTCAACCAATAAAGTTTCAACCAATAAAGTTTCAGAAGTTGATAATTCCTATATACTAAATAACGACGTGTCTTACTTAAATTACGTTTTCGAATATATTTTTGCTAAATTTTATTGCAAAACGTTGATAGCAGATTATATTACAACAAGGAAACAGATTTATACATATATAAAAACCGTAAAGTAAAACGAAATAATATAAGAGTACGAAAAAAAGAAAAAGAAAACAAAGAAGTAGTTGCTTCTTTTTATTGCTTAGAACACGATAGAAAAATACATTTTTTGCAATTTTAACTGCAAAAAATGAATGAAAGTTTAATACTTTGCTTTGGTCGTTTTTAAATAAGGTTTTTGCCAAATAATCGTTTACAATAAATAATAATATATAACTATAGACACAGTTTTCAAAAGTTTCAAACCACTTTATTTCATTTCGAAAAAAATTTCTCCATTTTTTATAAAAATTGTCAATTTATTTAAAAAAAAAAAGAAGGCTCACACAAAAAAAAAGTAGGGGAGGGTCGTGCCCTTTCAAAAACAAGAGGGGCGTGCTATCCCTTGTTTCTTAGGCGAGCAATCTACCACTGCGCCACATCTGCTAAAAATAAAGAAATATTGCATAGTTTTAGAGAGGGTTTTAATTACCTTATAGCCATTTTTAAAAAATCTAAATTCTGTTCAAATGATGTTTTTAATCAATTAAAGTCGGAAAAATTATTTGATTGTCTACTTTTTAATTATTTCGAACGCTGATAACGTTTTTTTTTTGTCACAAACAAAAAATCATAAAAAAAATTAAAATGAATACAGCAAATAAGTGTTGTCTAAATTATTTTTTTTTTATTTTACATTTTTTTTTAGTATTACATTTTTTAATG